CCTGTGTAACAGGCTGGAGGAGGAGGTGGGGCTGAGTGGCCTCCTGTTCCTGTGTAACAGGCTGGAGGAGGGGGGGCTGAGTGGCCTCCTGTCCCTGTGTAACAGGCTGGAGGAGGAGGGGCTGAGTGGCCTCCTGTCCCTGTGTAACAGGCTGGAGGAGGAGGGGCTGAGTGGCCTCCTGTCCCTGTGTAACAGGCTGGAGGAGGAGGGGCTGAGTGGCCTCCTGTCCCTGTGTAACAGGCTGGGGGAGGGGGCCAGCGAGGTGGAGAAACCCGGAGTTGATGGACCAGACCCTGGCTGACCTTCTGTCTCCTCTCTGCCCCACAGGAGCGACCTCCAGCCAAAGCCTGGAAGAAGCTGGCTCTGTCCCGGGAGTACAAGAACAACAACAGGCTCCGGGAGTACCAGCTCGAGGGTGTGAACTGGCTTCTCTTCAACTGGTACAACAGGTGGGTAGGCCCCTGGTGCTGTCAGTGCAGGGGCTGGAACAGCCCTGTCCACAGCCACAGAAGGGCCCTTTGCTGCTCCGCTCGCGCTCTCTCTTGCTCTCAGTCCTGATCACATTTCCTTTCCCAGGTTGGCCCCTGTACCCTATCGAAGTTGGTACTAGTGCCCAGAAGGTCAGTGGTTGGACCAAACATTAACTTGTGGGAGTGCAATACGCTCCATAGACTCGCTATCCTCGCGCTCTCTAAATAGACCCGCTTCTGTGCCTCCCTACCTGTGCTCCCTTGTGCTCTACACGACTTCTTCACCGAACTTGTCGAAAGTAATTCAGGCCATCTCTGCAGGAGTCCCTCAAGGTAGTGTCCTAGGCCCAACCATCTTCAGCTGCTTCATCAATGCCCTTCCCTCCATCATAAGGTCAGAAATGGGGATGTTCGCTGATGGTTACACCATGTTCAGCCCCATTTCCCCACTCCTCAGGTACTGAAGCAGTCCATGTTCACCTGCAACAAGATCTGGACAATATCCAGGCTTGGGCTGACAAGTGACATTCACGCCACACAGATGCCAGGCTATGCCCATCTCAAACAGGAGAGAATCTAACCCTCACCACCGCCCCCACCCCCCGCCTTTGACATTCAATGGTGTTATCATCACTGAATCAAGGCAGGTGGGTGAGGGAATACTCCCCACTTGCCCCGGATGGGGGGCAGCTCCGACAACACTCGAGAAGCTCGACACCATCCAGGGACAGAGCAGCCCCCACCCCCTCCCGCTCGATGGGCACCACATCCACAAACATTCCTCCCACCACCGACGCTC